ATACCTCGTTAAAGCACCTTTTTACGAATACTTTCTATTCCTCACAGTGGCTTTCCGAACCGCTATCGATTCACTAGCGGATTTGGCCGCTCGTCACCGGAAGAACGTGACGGTTATATCCCTATATATATATATATAGGCGGCGATTCCTCGTTTTCGTCCCCGTTGTGGTCGTGAAAATATCGTAATTTGAAACTCGATGCGAACTAGAAATGCGACGTTATTACGATTTCGATAATACATATATATATGTATAATTATAACATACGGTAACTGAAACAGATTTCTATTACAGATTTGTATTTTCAATGGTTCAGAATTATACGTATATATATATGATGATAATGACGCGATCGAAACGATTAATTAGAAATGTAAAAGTCGTCGCCTGTTCTGATAGTATACAGCGTGAAAAGCATCGGAGCATTGTTCGCGCATTTTAATAGAAACGTGTCCATTTAACGATAATAGCACGGTATCAATATTCTCTTTCTCTCTCTCTTTCTCTCTCGATAATGACACGAATATTTTGCTCATCAAGCGATAATCGTATGCCATGCATATGTTAACAACGAGGCGTTTATTAGCGATAACGTGACGGCAAATACGCGTACACGGGATGTGTTAATGTAAATTTAATAGAATTATTATACTTTAGTTATATAGCTGCATTTTTTAAATATATATTATTATTCGAGATATTATTTCAAATATAATATATATTTTGTTTCGTAATTATTTCTATAATTATTATCTGTCTCACTTTTGTTATTTAAAATATATAAATATATATTCATCCTCGATATTCCGTTAAACGTTACAAATACGTGTAGTAGTTGAACGGCGTCAAACAGGCGGCGATCACAAATCTGACGGATGGATGCAATTACGAAATCGCAACAAAATCGCACCGTTGGTCCGCGTCGGATCTAAATATCATGCAAACGATGCAAACTCGTACGACACGAGAGATTTCATTACGCGAGAGAGAAGGTTTACGCATTGTTTTTTAATCAAGTGCAAAATTTGGCGCAAAGCTTCGCGTGCGACGATCCACGTGTTCATTCGATTTCAATTATTCGCAAAATTGCTCTTTCTCCGCGTTAGTTGAATCAGCGTGGAATTGTCCCTAGAAGAAGCTAGTTCATAACACGCGTAAAAATTTTGTTCTAGAAGCGTGATTTTTTTTTCTTTTTTTTTTTTTCCCTTATATATCATAATCGACGTACAGAGAGACGAGGACAACAAACCGATATTTATCTTTCGTTTTTTTTCATGGCGCAAAAATTTTCTTTTCCTTCTTTCTTCCAATTTATTCCGTCCGAAACTCTAGATACGTCGTTGTTAATTTAATCGTTAGTACGTAGACGCGGATGATCGTAGAGGCACATTAACGCAGCTACTTGGAAACAATTTTTTTCGTCGACGATCCTCGCTTCCGCTCTCCTCTGGTTTATTGAACTATTTTTTTATTCCATTCGAGAGTTTAAACGGCGCGTATAAAAATCTTCACGCGACCGATTTTCGCGAATTGACGAATCTACCTGCCATCGGTGATTAAATTGGACGTAATGATCGACAGACCGACATCTATATATCGCTATGCAAGCCGATGAAAATAAATTGCAGGTTATCTGCTCTATATAATACTCTTTCCGCGGAATTATTTCGTTTAATTTCGCTTGCACGAGAGAATCGAGATTTCCCCTCCCTCCCGCAATCATATATGTTCCGACTGTGACGACTCCGAATCCCGAATTTCTTGGTTATCGATTTTTGAAACCATCGTTCAAGTTACGATAGAACGAAACTTTATAAAATATCAATCGAGAGTGTAACAAGATTCGTGTTATCCTTAATAAGATTATACATAATGTGTAGATAGATATTATAAAAGATATACATAGCTTAAAAGATATACGTAATATATAAAAAGTAACTTAATTAATAATAATAATTGAATTAAAAATATCTCCGTTAATTCCCTTATATAGACCATATTTAAAATTTTTTTTTTTCCTTTTTTTTTTTTTTTTTTTTT